GGCACGGCCGCGGGGGAATACAAACTCCAAGAAGGAGGACAAGCGAGATGCGGCCACCAACGCCTTGATCGTAAGCGTGGACGGCATGATGAATAAGAAGGACTCAAGGGAGGAGGAGCGTCGGCTTTCAAGGCGGAGCAAATGGATGCTTTCATGGAGATCCAAAGAAGGTGGCTTGATCTTGACGCCAAGAAGCAAGCCAAGATGTTCGAGCTCGAGGCGGAGAAGCAAGCCAAGATGCTAGAGATCGAGGCCGCCAACGCAAAGACAAAGGCGAAAGAAGTGGCTCTTGCAAGCATGATGACCGTGGTGGAGATCATGAAGGTGGATCTCAACACCTTGTCACCAAGGAAGAGGCCGTGGTTTGAGAAGATGTAGGCCGACATGTTCAAGTTCGAGGACGAGTGATCTATGGCGTCGAGGGCCATCTTTTTGTATGCCGGCAGGTGTTTCGGCATGACTACGGGAGCCGCGATGGCGTGGTCGAACTCAAGTCCCACAATTTTTTGTGTGCTGGCATGTGTGTCGGCCGGCTAGCGAGTGCGCCGGCATGAACTGTGGTATTTTCTGAAGCCGACATTGTATGCCGGCGCTGGCATGGTACCGGTATGAGACATGGCCGCTGGCATGATCGGCCGTGGGCCTTTTTTATTTAAAAATTGAATCTGGACATGAAATGAATCGACGCGTTGGGCGCATTGCCGACCCAAATGCAAAACTGGACGGACGCCCGGTAGACGGCCGACCCAAACAGACAAAAAGCGGACAAATGCACCGTTCGTTTGGGTCGCCCCATTAAAATTGCTCTTACAATTTAAAAGGTGAAAACCATGAGTAGAGCTACAATTCGGAGTTAGTAATAATGGCCAGTGGAGCAGTGATGACTTATTTTCCTTGCGAATCTTTATGGTAGGAATAGTATGACTTCTTGGCGCATGTCTCCCGTGATTTCCCTTTCGAAACAAAAATGAATGCACATTTGTTATTCTTTGTCTAAGTGCATGGCTAATAATATAGCCAGCTACTCCTGGCTATATGATAGTATTGCCACATCACATATAGTTAAACTTATAGTTAGCTAGTACAATAACTTGATATAAATATGCACTGTTCGGCTGTTAACTATTTCTTTCATTTCAAATTAGTTGACTTGAATTTGTCTAAATACGGATGTATCTATACTTGTTTAGTGTCTAGATACATTCGTGTCTAGATAAATATGGACCAAGTAATTTGGAACGGAGGGTAGTAACCCGTTTCTTTTCTCTCTTTTCCAACTAAGCAAATATATAATATTTAATGTTTTACAGCCTGCCTATATACATTATTAAACTCGCTCTAAGTATCTGCCGGTGCTAAACGTGTGTGAAACCCAATTAGCCCACTCCACCAAAGCAATCTGAAAGAATCTTTTTTACCCCATAAGGCACAAGAACATATTAACCCCAACGACCACGCACAGGAACATACTACTTTTACAAACTTACGACCAAGATAGTAGTACTAGTACAGCACCAAACACCAACCAACCCCCGAAAGGCTGAAACAAGTAGCAACAGAAGAGGAAAAGGGTAGGGAAGCCTTCCACGCACGGCGGCATGGTGTTCGACGCGGCCGCCGGCAGCGGCGCCGGGTCGCCGGCGGCGGCGCCGAAGGGCCCGCTCCGCGTCATCTTCACGCCGTGGTTCGCGCGGCAGGTCGCCGTGGGGCGGTGGTTCACGGTGTTCGCGAGCTTCGCCATCCTCACGGCGTCGGGGGCGACCTACATCTTCAGCATCTACTCCAAGACGCTCAAGTCGTCGCTGGGGTACAACCAGCAGACGCTCAACACCATCTCCTTCTTCAAGGACCTCGGCGCCAACCTCGGCGTCTTCTCCGGGCTCATCAACGAGGTCACGCCCCCGTGGGTCGTGCTCGCCATTGGCGCCGCCATGAACCTCGTCGGCTACCTCATGGTCTACCTCGCCGTCGACGGCCGCACCGCCCGCCCGCCCGTCTGGCTCGTCTGCCTCTACATCTTCATCGGCGCCAACTCGCAGTCCTTCGCCAACACCGGCGCGCTCGTCACCTGCGTCAAGAACTTCCCGGAGAGCCGCGGCATCGTGCTCGGGATACTCAAGGGCTTCGTCGGCCTCAGCGGCGCCGTCTACACGCAGCTCTACCTCGCCTTCTACGGCGACGACACCAAGTCGCTCATCCTCCTCATCGCGTGGCTGCCGGCGGCCATCTCCGTCGTGTTCGTGCACACCATACGGATCATGCCGTACCCGCGCCGCCGCGGCGGGCAGGAGACCAGCGGCGACCCCTTCTTCTGCTTCCTCTACATCTCCATCGCGCTCGCCTGCTACCTGCTCGTCATGATCGTCGTGCAGAAGCAGTTTACCTTCTCCCACGGAGCCTACTCCATCGCCGCCGCAGCGCTGCTCATCGTCCTCTTCCTCCCGCTCTGCGTGGTCATCAAGCAGGAGTACAAGATTTACCGCGAGCGCGAACTGGAGGCCGCCCTCCTCGCCAACGACCCGCCGCCAACCATCACGGTGGCTGGCGAGCCAGCACAGGTCGAAATGTCCACCGGCGCCAAAGCAGAGCAGCAGGCATCGTCGGAGCAGCCGCCGCCCTCTTCGTGCTCTTTCGGCGGGTGCGTGAAGAACATGTTCCGGCCGCCGGCGAGGGGGGAGGACTACACGATCCTGCAGGCGCTGGTGAGCGTGGACATGCTGGTGCTGTTCGTGGCGACCATCTGCGGCGTCGGCGGCACGCTGACGGCGATCGACAACATGGGCCAGATCGGGCAGTCGCTGGGGTACCCGGCCAAGAGCATCAACACCTTCGTGTCCCTCATCAGCATCTGGAACTACGCCGGCCGCGTCACGTCAGGCTTCGCCTCGGAGGTCTTGCTGGAGCGGTACAAGTTCCCCCGCACGCTGATGCTCACCGGCGTGCTCCTGCTCGCCTGCGCCGGGCACGTCCTGATCGCGCTCGGCGTGCCGCAGTCGCTCTACGTGGCGTCCGTGATCATCGGGTTCTGCTTCGGCGCGCAGTGGCCGCTCGTGTTCGCCATCATCTCCGAGGTGTTCGGGCTCAAGTACTACTCCACGCTCTACAACTTCGGCGGCATGGCCAGCCCCGTGGGGTCCTACATCCTGAACGTGCTGGTGGCCGGGAGGCTCTACGACGCGGAGGCCGACAAGCAGCCCGGCGGCGGGTTCACGGCGGGAGGCGGGCGCGACAAGGTGTGCCTGGGGGTGGAGTGCTTCAAGCGGTCGTTCCTGATCATCGCGGCGGCCACCGTGTTCGGCGCGCTGGTGTCGCTGGTGCTGGTGTGGAGGACGTGGAGCTTCTACAAGGGGGACATCTACGCGAGGTTCCGGGACGGCGCCGGCGAGAGACACGACGGCCGCCTGCCCGTCGGCCAAGGCCGGAAGCCGGCGGAGGAGGAGTCATCCCCAGTCAATGCCACAAAGGTGGAAGCTCAGAAGGCTTTGCAGGCTTGACCGGGTCAACTCTGAAGCAGCAACCTAACACCGCGACTCATGAGGTGGAGTGGTCAAAAAGGAACTTATACGTATGTTGGCGTTTTCTTTTCTATATACGTATTTGGCTACGTACGTGTTACTTTTTTTTTCTTGAGCGACAGTGAGGAGATGTATCTTGTGCGGCTGACATGGCGCATATTAAAGGGCAAGAGAAGGACGCCGTAGCACGGCCGGTAGGGGGTCGGGTGCCTGGTCCTGCTTCATGCCAGCTGGTCACTGACACACGTCCATGCTTGTCGCGTTGCACTGCACCAAGTCCGGAACGCGTCATTGACCACAACAACTTCTAGATACCGTATGAGTCAAGTCTTTCTTTACCCTCTTGCAATGAGATTGAAGAAAAAACATTCTTCCCTTGATCTTGGTCAGTGAGCTCCTGAATTCGCCTCCTCTTTGTCAGCCGCTTCGCCGGCCGGCGGCGGGAGGGCATCCTCGCCTCTCGGCTTCGGCTAGTAGATAGGTTAAGATTTTTAATCTCTCAAGGCGAAGAACGATAATGACGATGTTTTTTTTAATTAGTTATTTGGACTTGTCCTCCTCAAATTTGTTTGTCGGGGCAGATTAAAGAGAGCTCTAACGTAGATTCTTGTCAGCTCTGAGAGGTTAGGATTTCTTACCGTGCGTATGCGGCCGCGAGATTTGGTATCACGTTCTTCGGATCAATTCAAGGGATCAATGACGACGATTGCAACTCCATGGCGTTGTTACTTAGGGGCACATGCAGAAAGACTTTATGTTTGTTATCGACAAGGTCATGTCAACTTCTGTATGGGAGCAGCGACAACGACGCGTCGATGGCTCGTTCTGATGGTGGCAATGGTTGTTTGGTTCAATATGGAGAAGCCGCACTCCCAACCGTCCAAGCTACGTATCCGCCTCGAGTACTACCTCAAAGGAACCGGCGCGCGCGACACGCCGTCCTCACCGTCTTCCAAATGCTTCACTAAGGCGGAGGAGTGTCGCCGGGAGCAGCGCTAGATGCAATGCCATTCGCCAAGACCCAGGTGTCACTGCCTAGGGCCTCATGGACATCGCGCTCACGGAAGTTTGGGCCTTTGATCGATCCAAGACCAATGTGGAGTCGGATGCACATCATTGGCATCAGCTGAATGACTGGCTCCTCTGCGTCGGGTTGGCCGAGTCTGAACGCATGATCCGCCTCCAAGTCGAGGACAAGTAGCGCAAGCCGAAGGAGGCAGCTGAGTGCTACAAGCGGTATGCGACGGTCAAGGAGGAATGTCGCGACGCTTGGTGAGCTTTCCACCATTAGCATGCCAGTGACCTCGAAGGCCATGCCCACGAGGTCACCATCCGCTATTTGGACTAGTTTCATTTAGTCCATCCCATTTTATAGTTTATTTAAAGTCAAATTTAGGTTGAACTCGTTAAATTTCATTGGGACAATTCCATTTCTCCCACTAACTTGAACCCACACCTGGAATTTACCCCTAATTTTCAAGTATGCTCATATTTACCCTTCTACCGTAAGGTGGTGTTATAAAAATACCCTTCTGCTCCATTTCCATCCGGTCAAAGGCCTTTGACCGTCCACAATACATTTTCTGGACAATTTTTCCCTTCTTCGTGTATGCCACTAATAGCTAGGACCCATCCAAAATAAAAATAAAAAACTCTTCCAAGTCAAACTAGTCAACATTGACTAGGTCAAGAGAGGACTTGGCCCACATGCTAGTGATTCATTAGTTATTTCTTGTAATAATAAGCTATGCTTTTAGCTCTATAATTATATCTATTGCTCAGGAAGGGCCTGCTAGTCAACTATGCACTAAAAAGGATTAGGGCTAATGACAGGGCCCACATGTCTCACCGGCGATTTAAACGGCGGCAACGAGCGCACACACGGCCCTGACTACGGGATGGCTTGGAACACCGACGACGAGCACATGCAGGCAGTTGTTGCTGGGGAACGTAGCATGCAATTTCAAAAAAAATTCTACGCTCACGCAAGATCTATCTAGGAGATGCATAGCAACGAGAAGGGGAGAGTGTGTCCACGTACCCTCGTAGACCGAAAGCGGAAGCGTTTCCTTAACACAGTTGATGTAGTCGAACGTCTTCTCGATCCAACCGATCAAGCACCGAATGTATGGCACCTCCGAGTTCTGCACACGTTTAGTTTGATGACGTCCCTTGAACTCTTGATCCAGCAAAGTGTCGAGGGAGAGCTCCGTCAGCACGACGGCGTGGTGACGGTGATGGTGAAGTGATCCGCGCAGGGCTTCGCCTAAGCACTACGTGAATATGACCGGAGGCGTAAACTGTGGAGGAGGGCGCCACACATGGCTTGGAAGAATTGTGTGTGTTCTAGGCGCCCCCTCCCGACGTATATAAAGCAGGGAGGGGGAGGAGGCCGGCCCTAGGCGCGCCCCACATAGGAGGAGTCCTACTTGTGCTCCTAGTAGGATTCGGCCCCCTTTCCTTTTACCGGAGGGGGAAAGGGGTAAGGAGAGAGAGAGAGGGAGAAGGAACGAGGGGCGCCGCCCCCTCTCCTAGTCCTATTCGGCCTCCTTCCCTGTGGGGGACGCGCCACCCCTTTGTGGGCTAGTGTGTGAGGGAGTCCTGGACTAAGGGGTCCTCAGGTGTCCGGGCTATTGATATGGTCCGGACTGATGGGCCATGAAGATACAAGGCAGAAGACCTTCCCCCGTGTCTGGATGGGACTCTCCTTTGCGTGGATGGCAAGTCTAGCGTCCGGATATGTAATTTCCTTTCTCTATAAACCAACTGCGTACAATCCTAGGCCCCTTCGCTGTCTATATAAACCAGAGGGTTTAGTCCGTAGAGGCTATCAGAATTCATATAGGCTAGACATCTAGGGTTTAGCCATTACGATCTCGAGGTAGATCAACTCTTGTAACCCCTATACTCATCAAATACAATCAAGTAGGACATAGGGTTTTACCTCCATTAAGAGTTCTCGAACCTGGGTAAACACCGTGTCTCCCCTTGCCTCCTGTTACATTCGATCCTCAGATGCACAGTTTGGGACCCCCTACCGGAGATCGGCCGGTTTTGACACCGACATTGGTGCTTTCATTGAGAGTTCAACTGTGCCATCGACAGAAGGATCGATGGCTCATTCGATCATCAACAATGCTACCGTTTCTGAGGAAACTTTCCTCCCCGGCCAGATTTTTGTGTTCAGTGGCTTCGTTCTGCATGCCAACTCGATTGGCCACCTTGAACAGATCGACAGCTACGCCCTTGGTCATCAGATCAGTTTCAGGAATCTAAATTATGTCGCTGATATCCGAGGAGACTTGATCTTCGAAGGGTTCGCGGCCCCGACCACTGCTTTGGCCTTAGATCCGGAGCAAGCTGCCGGGTCCGAAGATGGGAGTTTGAAGCCCGTCAGACTCTCAGCCACGAAACTTACAATCGGGGATCCGGAGGCAATTTTGTCTTCGGGCAGCCCGGAGTCAGGCTGGGTTCCTCCTATCATGGAAAGGCCAGACTCGCCCCTGGACTCTAGCTCTGGACTCTCGAAGCCCGTTCTCAACAAGCGTGGCTAGAAGGCCTTTGCCCTGCCAGCCTCGCGGACTCTCGTTTCCCCGTCCAACACTCGCTCTTAAACGAGGCTCTAGACTTGATGCGGTCCCTCGCCATTACAGAGGAATCGCCTCCGAACTATGCCCGACCTGGACTAGGGGCTGAGAGCAGGGAATTTTATGTCCCACCCACCACCCACTTCATAGCCACCATCAAGGACTTAATCGACATGATGGATTACACCTCTGAAGACATCGACGACATGGATGACGATGCCGGAGACGCACAAGGCCAAGATCCGCCGTTTACCGGATGTTGGACGGCCACCTCCACATACAACGTATATATGGTGGACAAACCCAAAGAGGATGACGGCGAAGGCAGGAAGGATCCGGTTAAGGACAAACCTGCTGAGGCACCATCAAAGTATCGGCGCCAGCGACGCCGCTTAAAATCGCATCATGATAAAGACAGTAATACCAGCACCGGAGACAATAACACTCCAGAGAACTCCAAAGACCCCGAAGCCCCCGCCGAGCCCACATTCGAACATGATGATGTGGATGAGGGGCAAGTTAACCCCTACGATCCGGTCGGGAATGAGGATTCAGAAGATAGTAACTATCTACCGCTCTCCGAGGATGATGTCAACCTCGGCAATGAAGATTTCATCATGCCAGAGGAACCCCTTGAGCAGGAGCGCTTTAAGCTCCAATTAATTTCCACTACAAGAAGCCTTAAAAAGCAGCAGCAACGGCTCCAAGCCGAACATGATACACTCAACGACAGATGGACCCAGGTCCTAGCTGCCGAAGAATATGGCCTACAACGCCCAACAAAGAGTTATCCAAAGCGTCGGCTACTACCACAATTCGACGACGAGGCCTTCGAGCCAATCCCGTCAAAACATGACCGCGCTGATGAACCATCTCGGCCACCACGTGGGCGAGATAAAGCGGCCACCAACGCCGAACACCAACCCGCACCACCTCGCCGTAGGGGCAGAGAGACAGCGGCTCCAGGATAGACCTGCGACCTGTGACAGGACCTGAGCAATAGAGCATGCCAAACCAGATCAATCTATGGATCAAGGGGGCGCGCCCCAACACGAGAAGACGACCGTCAAGCTTGGCGCGATAGGCATAACTTCACCAGGGCCGAACACTGCATACGGATGTCATCCGGACTCCGTCGTGATGTTGCCCAATACAGAGGCGCCGCACACCCCTTATGCTTTACCGACGAGGTAATGTAGCACCAGTTCCCAGAAGGATTTAAACCCATAAACATCGAATCATACGACGGCATGACAGATCCCGCGGTATGGATTGAAGATTTCCCTCTCCATATCCACTTGGCCCACGGTGATGATCTTCACGCCATCAAATACCTTCCCTTAAAGCTGAAAGGACCAGCACGACACTAGCTAAATAGCTGAAGGAAATATGTCCAAGAGGCAATAATAAAGTTGTTATTTATATTTCCTTATACCATGATAAATGTTTATTATTCATGCTAGAATTGTATTAACCGGAAACTTAGTACATGTGTGAATACATAGACAAACTGAGTGTCACTATTATGCCTCTACTTG